ACCTGTCTTTTTCTTACCAAGTGCTCCTTCAGATCCTACTTAGTTGGTTTAGTGGTGTTTGATCAGGGTTGTTGAGCTAAACTCTGGATATCCCATTTACAGATCTCTAGAATGTAAACAGTGACTTGTAAGTTCTTATGTAATAAATAAAGATAACTCGTATGGATTTAATTTTTTCAAATGGTCTTTATGTATAGAAATCTGCAACTATCCATGTCACTTGGAAAAATCTCAATATAGATAACTGTAAACATTGAATAACATTCTGAAAAATATCTAACTTGCCATTGATTGATGAGAACTTGCATTTAATTCAGTTTACATTCACGAGATTTGTAAATAAGTTCGGACTAGTACTTTAGTAATTTAGAGATATCTATAATTGAAATAACAGTAAAAAGTAGATTGCGATAAAAGATAATAAATTGTTATGATGTAATAGACTACTCAAAATCCAATTAGAGATATCATTAATTGACCCTTTTGTCAAGACAATTTTAACATGTTTAACGGTCATCAGCATCTTAAATCCTTGAGATTTTATTATTTAGATTTATTTTTTTTAATGTATGAATATTTATGCATACGTTATATCATCCTTGCATCAAATTACAAAAAACAAATTACTGCTTATGCGAGGCAATTCAAATGCAGCGTCTATGGGGACAGGACAGTAAATTTGACGTAGTTCTCTTTTCTGGCTACAGTTATGAGTCTCACACAATTTTGTTCCAAAGTCTTGATAACACCATCTCGATTGTTGCTTGATCGGATATGGATACAGTTGGAAGTTAATGAGAATTATTTAAATTTTTTAGGAAATTTCCCATTTATTGTATTTTATTAATGTCTACCATCACTCCAACCCCAATAGTCACAGTAATGTAAAAACAGTTCCGTTCTTTGTTATCTATTAAATTACCCAATAAATTGTATTTTTGAACACCTAGCCCCAACCATCACAGTACTGTAAAAATATGAATTATTGTTATACAGCGTCATAAAAAAAGGCTGCTATATTGATATGCATATCACACTTCCGGCCGGCCGCATATCCGATCTAGACTTTACCCACCATCTCTGAGTTTTTCTTTTATCATTTGAGCAAATGTGATCGTAAAAAAAACATTTATTGTTCTCTCCCATTTACTGCACTCCAAGCTAACCCAACTATAATGACTTTCGTACTGAGAAAGCTGGAAATGTGAAAAGCAGGCCCAGATTGGCTAATCGGGAGCACAGGGAGAATTCCCGGTGGGCCGGTCCGTTTTTTGGCCGTGAGGGCCGGTGTCCCTAGCTGCTTGCACTCTCAGCAGTCGCACTTTTTTTCATATATTGATTTATTTGACCATAGCTTCACTCTTTTTATTTATTATTTTGCCACAGCGCCGCTCTTCTTATTTATTTTCTCGCATCCCCGTAAGCAAAATGCACTGCAGCCTGCAGGTTAACTAACGTTAATGATGACGTAACGTTAACTATCATCATTCAACCCCAAACAGCGAATTCGAATAATTAATATCAATGAATAATACACCTGCTCAATGAAAATCAGATGATTTACTACATTAATAAATCAGACATAACTTGATCAGAAATCTAAAAAGGGGAAAAAAAGATTAAGCCATCAATAGAAAGTAATACTGTGTCTTGCAGCTCACAGTCTAATACTATTTTTTTCTCGTTGCATTAGAGTTATAGTGGACCAGTGGTAAACACGTTGTGTTACTACGCCATTCGACCTGTGTTCGAATCTCACATGGAAAATTAATATAATTTTTTTTTTTCATTTTTATTGTTAAGACATATAATACTGTTAGGGCTTTTAAACATTTGAATTTTTAAAGCAGCTGTTTTCTTGAAAAAGACGTGATAGTGTAATTAGAAACTGAATTGGAAATGACCTTATTTTAATATAGTCAGTCGTGAACTGAGGTGGGCCGGTCTGGCTTGAAACTCCAGAGCTGAAAATGAGTCCCAATCCGGCCCTGATGAAAAGGGTCCATTTTTTTTTTTTTTTTTACAATTGTTATTACAGTTGGAGATTGCCAACTTAAATAAAACAAGCTAAATGCTAATTTGAAATCTTTATCTAGAATTAGGCTAGTATACAAATCAGTGACAGGTAAAATTGAAATTTGTACTCATTTGTAGATTCCCGAAAATAATTTTCAATTGAAGCCAAATGGAAGAATATGACGAATCACAACAGCATTGCAGATATCTTGAATATTACAGCTAATCAAAATAATGTTGTAGATTTCTTGAGTGCATATTATGACTATTCATTATCACATGATGTTGGAGCCATTTGTGATATTAATATATATTTATATTTTCTTTGTTGCATGATTGAATAAGATTAATAATATTATAAAGTATTATTCTGTGTCACTGATCGAGTGGTTTAGTGATATAGATTAACTCCACCTACATGTCACGTCAGCTCACCTGCTTACGGAAGGGCTCACAGGTGATGGGTGATCAGCTGACAGGAGTAGCGGGGAAACAGTTTTTTGACCGTGTTTGTTTGTATCATTTGTAAGACAAATAAAATTAATTTTGAGATATAAATGCTTGGACGCGTCATGAACATCACTGCTCCTGTCAAAATGGCTCCGTAGTAACTAGATGATGCTGGAGACCGTTATACATGATGTCCACATCTTAACTGTAACTATGATGGGTCAAAACTACAAAAACACGAGGGCATTAACGCTAAAAATGGCTTGCTATAATTTTTATTATTGGAAACATGCTTTACAAATCACTCAAAAAGTTGCAGAATGATGAAAAGCTGTACTTACTACTTCTCCAAGCAAGACAACATTTTCTCCTCTGACGACAAATATCCCTCGAGGTATGTCACCAAATTTTTTACCTACATGGATACGTTCAACTGTCTGATGCAAAACTAGATTGGCTGTGAAAGGAAAAAAAAAAGTGTTAAAATATAATTGTAGTTTTGCTAATAATAAAGAAAATAAAAAAGCTCACAACTCTTTTTTTCATACCATTCCAAACATGACCCCATTGGGAAAAACAAACAAACAAAATAAAAACATTTTGAATACAGGTATGGGCTGAAAAACAGCAACCAGACATTTTACACATTGAACAGAATTTTATTTAAGACCTCCACCTGAACACCACTTAATATTTTGAAGTAATAATAAAAATAGGCTAAATTAACGGCCTCTTTACATACCAAACTGATCTATACTTCTGAGGATGCCAATTAACGTTCTTCCATCTCGAAGCAGTACAAGGTGTTTTTCTGTGAAATGAAAACATTGTCAATCACAGGAATACCTTTTAACTCGAAGATATGTCAATTTCATCACGTGATCACCTAAAACACCTGCATTAAGGTAAATTAATCGAACTAAATAACTAGATAACTGGATGAGGCTACATAAAATAAAGGTAAGCTTGCGGAACAATAGAACAGAGCGTTAAGGTTATACTTGTCGGTTTACCACTAACATGACTTTTACAAACGCTCAGGCAGCCTAGTTAAACATCATTACAAAAAAAAACAGTCTCGCCGGTGTTCATTCACTCGAACACATTTCCTTATTTCGCAATTAACTTACTATCGATGTCCTCGATGAGGCTCGCGGTCCCTGGCATGTAATTCATTATGCTGACATTTGGGAATTGTTTTTTAAACACAAAGTATCAAGCCATGGACTATTTCAAACGCGTATCCTTTATTCCACAGGATGTTACGCAGAACCAAACGCTTCCGGTGCAAATTTAACCATTTCGGTTACCAATGGTTCAGGTCCATAGATATATATACGTTCAGGTCCCTTCGTATTTTTGTTAGTGTATTTACGTGAACTGACGACTATAGTTCGTTGTTTTTATTGAAAATCATAGATGATTATTTTGATGTTAATAATAAAACTTTGGAGCAAAATTTGTTTATTAATTTAATGATAATATATGGGAACAAAAATAGTCCAATTATACAGAAACCCTAAAAGACACACACACAAAATAAATAAAATAAAAATGAAATAAATAAATTAATTAAAAAGCTATAACAATGTATGCAATTTTAAAATCTTTTTCTTATGCGATTTTTTTTGTTGTAATTTCTATATCCCCTTATTTTTATTTTATTTTGTGTTTGTGTTTTTTTTTCTACTGATGTTCCTTTACTGTACAAAAATGTAAGCATTGTATTCCTATTTTTTTGTATGCTATTGTTCTCGTTATGCAAATAAAATAAAATAAAAAATCACAGATGATAGTGGTTAGATTACACAATTTGTTTGCTATCCCATTTACTAATCTGTTTGAGTCGGATCTTTAAAAGCAACCCGTTCACAAACCTTTCTCTCGAATTGACTGAACCACAAAAGATTAATGCAACGCACAGAACAGTGAAATTACAATGATTATAAATTATTAAATTATAAATCATTGTCCACGTTTATTAGTGTTGAAATAGAAGACTTACTGTATGGGCTGTATGTATATATATATATATATATATATATATATATATATATATATATATATATATATATATATATATATATATATATATATATATATATATATATATATATATATATATACATATATATTGTTATTATTATTGGTTTTTGCCTCCTTTATTTTGTTCTGAATGTCATATAAATATCGTGACGTTATTTTATTATTTAAGCAAATTAGAACGCGAACATTTTTGTAATACTCTTTCATTCGTTTTTTTATTATTAATGCAAGAATGATACATACAAAACAATGCTTAGGTATACAAAGAATGAAAAGTATAAAAAATTATATAGATACAAAAACTCAATAGATAAAACAACAGAAAAAATAATAATATTACAAATAAATAATGCTAGGCCATCTCACAATAACTTATAAGTGTCAAACAAATACACGGTTTTAACAGCTTTTTTTGTTTTCACTCTCCTTAATGGTATTTTTTATACTTATTTAGTTATTTAAGTACCTCTTAAAACAGGTTTATGATTGCTAAATTTACATCGATGAATATGAAACTTTGTAAGTATAATCAGAAGATTAATAACATAAGTTTCAATTTCCAACTTCTTATCATAGTTGAAAAAAAAACATATTCATACAGTAAAAGAAAATTTCAACACTTCCAAAATTTGACAGCACTTCCATAACCATTTTGTATACAAACAATGGCAGAAAATATGAGGTACTGTTTCTGAGTATAATGAACAAACTGAACAATTGACATCCATGTCTTCGATAAATCTGGTTAAAAAGCTTAACAGGGTAAAATTTTTGTAAAATCTTAAATGATACTCTCTCATACGTTGCGCTCCAAGTTCACCAACTATGACGAAATCCCCTGCTGAGGAATCCGGAAATGTAAAAAGGGTTTTGTAAATATATCGAATTACCAATTGATTGCATTTTATTAACGCCCACCCGAACCCTAAACCTAACCCCCACAATAATTATTGTTGCTCGGTAATTGCATTGTAATGAAATATTAATTATTTTTAACTTCCGGCCGTACATGGAGGTGGCGTGAACAGCGTACATGTTTCCTATTGGCCAGTTGAGCTGTCAGTTAAGGGGTCGGCTGGTGAGTTGAAATGAAAGACAGTGCCGTGCTTCACCAGTGTAACACAAACATTGCAAATACATACCGTGGACGCATCTTGCTGCAGCATCTTGTGAAACGTGGTGGCGACAAAATAGTCTCTTTTAAGTAAATCTGTGATTAAAAGAAATTAAATTAGGGCAAAAAGAGTTAGTGGCGTTACAAGGAATGGCTTTCGATTCAGCTGGCAGCGACAGAGGCAGAGGTGAGGCTTCGTGGATCATGCATCAGCAAATGCAGCCTGAAACCAAGTCACCCTGGCCTTCAAGTTACAAGTCAGAGAACAATAACGTTAACTGGAACAACGGCATGGTAAGTCCTTTGTTTACAGATGTCGTCGAGGTATAAACACACACTACAGAAGCCGTTACCGCATTTCTATCATTCATGCGGCAAAAAATCAACTAGCTGGACGCCACTGACTCAGTAAGGCCCACTGGGTATGTTGATAAGTCGTAGGGTAAAATCACATGGTTTGTTTAACGTAATGTTTCCAGGTAAAGGCATACTGTATAACTGCGAAACACTAAAGTGTTGCGTGCAAATTTCATTGATGACACCTTGGGTTTAATACTTTTAAAGCATACAGATTTTTTTTTAATGGAATGTGTTTTCAGTAAGTCTTTTACCTTATTCTGAGCATAAACAATTAACTCACTGATATTGTGAAGAATATATGTTTATATAGCCAATTTCTTAGTGCAGGTCAACACTATCAGATTGGTTGCTAAAATGCAACCGTGTGTGGATCAATTTGGACTCGGTGGTTCTGAAATCTGACCCCCAGGACAAATTGCACTGCCCTTTGTGTGCATGCGCGTCACACGGTTGAACTTCGGGTGAACGCGATCCCTGTACGACATGTATGTTATACATGGAGTGTGTGTGAGTTTATTAGAGTTGTGGAGCGTTTAAAATATAATCAAGTTTATTATTTGATGTGCTAATGCTAAGGATTGTACCTTCAAAGTAACATTTAAAATTATGTTTGAAAAATAGTTTTTTTTTTTAAATTTTATTAAACATCACTTAGGCCAGGGCTAAAACTTTTTACTTCAGGACTCACCAATTTTGCAAGGGCCCTCTATACCTTACATTTCATCTTATACTCTACTTCACGTGAAAAGTGTTTCTTTCTATTTTATTTTATTCTTCCTCTGCATGTTCAACTCAAATTCACACATTTTACTTTACATTTTAGCTATTCTTTATTACTTAATGAAAACCATCTACTCAATTCTAACTTTTTAAAATAATACATGAATTAAATATTAAGTACTTAAGCTAAACTGGAATTGGGCGGTTTAAAAGACCAAAACAAAGACCGACTTTCTGGGACGTAATGCACATTTTCAGAGCAGAATATCTTACTTAAGCATTGTTTTTCAGAAAAAAAACAAGTTCACTTAGCATGTTTTTTTAATTTCTGCAAATGTATTGTATTTTTACGCTGTAAAAAATCCAAAAACTTACATACAGCACCTTTAAATTCTTCTTAACTACATGAACAAAAGTGGCTTTTAAACAGAGAACAATAGACCAATTACCAACCTACGTCACACATGACGTCACGCGGGTCCCTGGTTGCAAAAAAAGGCAGGCTGCAATAGGAAAGATGTCATGTTGTGCGGTAAGATGCCAAATTAGTAACTTTTATCATACACCACACTGCTTTAATGCTAACTGCAGACGTCTTGGCTAAAAGGGAGCTGAATGAAGTGACAACCTAATTAGAAATGCTGTACTCTGCAGTTGTCATGTCATATCAGGTAAGTTGACGCTATGCTGAATCAGACACATTACTCGTTTTTGATTGCAGAAATGATTTCAGCAAAAACTGTTACAAAGGTGAATTAAACTGCCGACACTGAATGCTAAGAATGAAACGTGAAAGTGTAAGTTACTGAGGTAAACTTGGTTTCATATTCACACATTCATTCAGTGACAACTTGTGACACACTCCCTATATTGTTTACCACGACACTTTGAATATTCGGTTTGAAATAACCTGCAAGTGTGACTTGAAAACAACATTAACACTGTTTATTTGACTGTGAACAATGTTGTACTGTGATAGTCATTGGCTGCTGATAAGATTTTGGCAGATAATACTTTTATGAAATTATATTATTAAGGAGAAAGTCTGAATGTGCGAATATAAAACTAACTTTACCTCTATGTGTAGGTTCACATATCCTGCCGTACAGGTGCAGTTCGTTGTCAGAATGCAGTCGTTTTGCGTGTTGGTGATTAATTACACGGGGCTTAGCTTGTATAACGTTAACTCCGTCTTCTTTCCTTGTCTTTGGCTATGCAGAACCTCTGTTTTTAGCTCTACATAGTGTTAAATCTGGTCATCATGGAGCATTATTTCTTGCACATGACCACACAGAACACTGTTGGCATCCAAAGACTTGTACACCTTTAACTTCTATCTTGTAAAATCACTTGGAGCTTCAATGAGATTGTATGTTTGGGGCTGGATGCTTAGTTATTTTGTCTTATCCAATATTCATTGGGAGGGTGCTATCCAAATGCACCTGTCAGACGAACGCCGCTCACTTTAACGTTAATTTTGCCGAATCACTGTGCTTATCACTGGGTGACGAGCTGTTATAATATGCTGAAAGCATTATGTAAATAATATATATAATGTGCAATTGATATATCTTATTTCTAAGACAACAACAGACTCTGTACTGCATCGGATGTCATTCCCTCGCTGTAAATGCTAGCGCTCCCGGTTTTTTCTGCCACCTCCCTGTGCGCGCATCCTGAATGTTTACAAACATGGTAATTGGTCTATAGAGTAAACATTTTAGTTTGTCTGTGCAGGGGCCTGTTTCAGTAAGGAGGTTCAAACAACTCGGAGTTTAAACTTGAACTCTGAGTTGATTTACCGAGAGATTAAAAACTCTGAGTTTTCAGTTTCAGAATAGCTGATCTGAGTTGGGTCAATCAACTTTGAGTAGACCAACTCAGAGTTAAGCGCGCACACCGTGACTATAAAAAGACATTATCAATGGAGCGCAGATATTATGAGTGACCATGGCAACATCTTAAAAAAAGAGATCACCATTTCTTTCCCCAGCTGAACTTGATCTGCTCATGCAAAGTTTTAGCAAATATGAGTGTATATATTTAAAAAGAAGCAACCATCAGTGAAACAAGGACAGTTAGCCTGGGAAAACAGCTGCTCAAGTTAATGCGTAATTTTTTATTTAAATTATTTAAACATTTAAGTATAATAAAATAAGTAATATAATGTGTGACGTTTATACTTTTTTCTAAACTTTTATACACGTTTATTAGTTTTAATAGATTTAACAGTGCACTTGTGTGTCTGCCTTTTTATTGATCAAGTGATAGAGGTTGATATAACATTAAGAACCTAAGCAGTGCTAAAAATAATTTTTAGACAGAATAATAATCCCTTTAATCTAGTAACAGTGCATGTCGAAGGTTAAGCTAAATATTTATGGAAAAAAGGACACGCCTTGTACGTGACTTTGTTCTGTGTGTGACAAAAATGTAGGCAATAGCTATGTTTCCATCAAAATACAGGCTTACATAAATTTGTGCAAAACTGGAATAATGCCTAAAAGATGCGAATAAAGCAGCGTTTTTATCGAGTCAAAGAGAACACAATTGTCATTTCCTGATTAACTTGCGCCAAATATCAAGAGTAAAAACAGAATTTACTGCGGTAGAACAAGCTGCGTTAATGATTTTTTATTTAATACTTGCGCCTCAGAAGACACAATGAACACGTGGGGGCGTTTGAAGCCAGACGCGGCCGATCTTGACACGCTCCAGACGCTTGGAGGTAATTAATAATATACACTAATACTGAAACAGTTAAGGCATTTTAGAATGGCTAAAACAACATTTAAGATGTTCTACTGTGTGCTCAGTCAGCTGGTTTGTCCATTTACACACATTTTCATCATCATCTCTAACAAACTTTTTTTTAATGTACATACTGTAATTTGTTAAGTGCACTTCGTAGTTTATGCGCATCTTTTCTTATCAAATAAAAGTTTAACCTACTCAGTTATGCACATGTTTTATTATAAATATTTTCAAAAGTTATGTGAATCGTGACGTTTCCATCAATCGTTTTTATGGGCATCTCCAAAATGAGCTCTAAAATAGGTGTGTGGAAATGTAAGACTAATGCTAGAAATACGCTTCATCTTTAAAAAAGGGGAGGAGACCGACAGAAACTCAGAGTTTAGAGAATAAAACCTGCTCCGGACCAGGTTAGATTCACAGAGTAAGTTACCACAGTAACTGACTCTGAGTTAAAGTTACCTTTCTTTTAGAAACAGGCTTGACACACCCTGATTTCTTGAGTTTAGCAAACCTGCCATTTTGAAACCGAAAACCCAGAGTTTTTCTCATTTCAGGGTTAAAATACTCTGAGTTTTCACTTAACCTCCTTTCTGAAACAGGCCCCAGGTCTGTTAGGCCCCGTTTACACTGCCAGTTAAATGTGACCCAATTCCGATTTTTTTTGCCCATATGTGACACAGATCGGATCTGTTCTATGACCATGTAAACACAAAAAAAACGCATGCATTCGGATATTCAGAGATCGGTTTCAGGCCTCCTTCATATGCGGAAATAAATCAGATATAGATTGGATATGTGACAATGCGACTGTCATGTAAACAGGCAGATCGGATTTATTAAGGCATTTCATTCTGTACATCATTAAACTTGCGACAATGTGGTGCTTCTCCGCGGTTTAATAACATAAGGAAGAGCGTATGTGGAGATGACGGCGCGGTAAACAACATCAGAGGAAACAGAGGAGGAAAGTGGTCAGTCGCCACAATTTGCTCCTACCAGACCTGAGACCTCTCTCGTTACCCATACATTCCTCTGAATGGTGGAGGATATACAGCACATGAAAAAAGTGCAAGCTCCAATGACGGCCCTTTCCCACCTCCGCCTCAAAATAATTTTAAAGTTGGGCAAACTTTGTGTTGTAACTTTTGCTTTTTGTCGCTATTAATACACTCACTGCGGCTTCACATAGAACAACTTTATTCTCTCCAACACCAGTGCGCAGCACTGCGCACACAGGCAAAAGCTACATCTGCAACTACACACACACACACACACACACACACACCAGGGCCATAGCATTACATAAACTGTGTAGGGGTAACTCTGGACTGAACTGAACCATTCACTGATTTTACTACACTTCGCATATTTCGCAGAGCTAAAAACAAGACAATTTCTTCCATCGTGGCTAGTCCCAGATAGCAGGTAGTAATCGGCCCGAGCTCGGCTGATAACACTCGGCATCGGCATCATTTGTTAGCTCCACGTTTAATGACAACTTGAGAAAATATCCATGTTACGACTGCAACAAAATAATAAGACTATTTTGTGTGGATGGTTAGACGCAAACAAAACAATATTATTTATAAATTGATTGTACATATCATCATGGCACAGATGCTAGAATCTGCCTTTATGCATGCGCGACATCGTAAATTGTATGGGAAGTGTAAACGCATGAATTGGATATGGGTCACAATTAAAACAACGTGTAAACAGACAGGCTAACAAATCAGATATAGGCAACAAATTGGAATTTGGGATCAAGACCTGACAATGTAAATGGGACAACAAATATTTATTTAGGCCGGAACTACAAAACCGAATTTAAAATAATTTTAGTTTTAAACTAGTGGGGTTTAAATCAATGAATGCAAATAATCGTGAATACTGTGTAACCGTGATTTTTTCTTAGACTATAATCGCACACCCATAATTTATAATCGTTGCATCCCTACATTTAAATACCATTTAGAAATAGCATACGTTAGTATAAAATGCATGGTCTTAAAATATACCTATTACAATATTTAGAAAAAGTTATTCTCAAGAAAATGCATTCTGACAATGTGTTCTTTTACTTTAAACTTATCCGACTGTCAAGGCCCGTGCACACCGGGACACTTTTTGCTCGCGTTTTCTGTCAACGTTTAACACCTTGTGACTAAATAAAGGGTGCCAATGTGATCGTGCACACCAACGCGCAAAACGCCAGGCGCAAAAGCGTCATATTAGTTGGCATTCACAGCTTGAATAAGGTCAGCTTACTATATATAGGCCTTGTGATAAAGTGAATGATTATGCGAAATCAGTGTTTGACTCAGAAATATCAGCTCATGCCTTGTTAAATCATTTATTGGGTTATCAGAGATGATCTATATAAGAAACTAGTTATTATATGCTTGGTGTAAGAGTAGGCACTGAGGACTTTTCTATTTCTAATTCCAATTGCATTACCATTTCTGGCCTTGTCACTGGCATATATACTTATTATATCATATGCCTGTAAGCTAGTCAGATTTTAAAACCAGACAGAACTGTTTTATTATTTTTTATTATTTAATCTTATTTATTTTTTTCATTATTTATTTTAGGAATCTCAGTATCCAGGCTACTCAAGTTACTGGTACCCACAGTCACATACAGCAGGGCCCTATGGCAGCTCATACCCCCCTGGAACAGAGGTGAATGGACAGGCATCATACAATCCCCAGGTACAGCTGACTCTTGAGTTCTATGCAGGATTCTCTCTGTCTGTCTTAACATACTGCTGACTTTGCTTTTATACTCTGCTTTGCCATTTTAGGCAATGCCAGCCTATCCCAATGGAGTGTACAATCCAGGGCAATACTCCACGAGTATGCTACATCCTTCTAATCCATTCTACTGCAGTGACCAGGTTCCTTCAAGACAACCTCATTATCACAACCAATCCTGCCCTGAACAGAATGCAGGGGGCTCGACTCATCCCCCCTACCCTGTACCTCACTGCCAAGCGGTAAATTCAGCTACATATAAGGATAATATATGAATGTTAGTTTAGTTTTGCTCCAAGCTCATTTTTATTGGATTTTTTAACCAATTTTCAATCAAAATGGGGTTAACAAGTTTATAGTGTTCATCCCTTTTTACTTTTTACAAAAATTACAATATTATGTCTCCGGAATATGTCTGAAATTTGAGGTCAAAATACACAACAGATAATTTATTATACCACGTTGAAAATGTAAATTTTTGGGTCAGTGGGAATTTTAAATGCAAACAAGCTAGTTGTCTTTGAACATGTCACTTCAGAGAAGCATAACCAGGGTCAGTTGTCAGAATAAAAGCAGCACAAACACAGACAGAAACAAACACTAAAGTTAAGACTTAACCAGGAAGTTTCCAAATGGTTCTTTGATGTAGTTGTGTAGTTTGTTCAGCCTTCGTGCGACCATGAATGAGCCACACACAAATTACCAATACCTACTAGGTCGGGCTGTGCAATTAATCGAAAATCTGGTTTCGATTTCGATTACGGCTTCTAATGATTATGAAAAACCATTAATCGAGATAAATGATTATTCCGTCATATACCGCTTCCTTTTCAGTTCCACGTGAAAGTGACTAAAAGATGTGCTGTAATGTAACTTTTGCAGCATGGGATCCGCATCATTCATATTTTTTTAAGCGCGAAAGAGAATGTGCTGTTGTGTGTGTGCGCGCTGCGCTTAGCCTCAGACATGTAGTGTGTTTGTGTGTGTCTGTGTGCGCGCTCCGCGCGGTCCGCGCTTAGCCTCGGACAGCAGAGCACACGCACATCTAACGCCATCTTAATGTGTGCGCTTTAATGGTCAAATACATGCACGGTGTTTAGGGATTATTCATATTAATGTGTGCTTAGCTCAGCTTTATACATCTTCTAATTCAGTGGTTGAAAAATTTAAATTATCATAAAAACTCACCCTCATGTGAGAACACTGTTCATTTTCAGAACACAAGATATTTTAAATGAAATTTAAGAGCTCTCTCATTCTTTATAGAAGCTTTATTGAAAGTCCAGAAAAATACCAATAAGTATCCTGAAAAAAACATACCGTATGTTTTCAGTAATTCAATCATATTGTTTTTAAGCTACGAGAATACTTTTATGTGCGCACATAAAACACCAATAATGATTTATTCAACAGTTATTTATTCTCAATGTCAGTATATTGTGCATGTTCACTGTGCACTTTATGTGCACTCAAAAGGATTTGTATAGCTTGATAATAGACTGATCGGACCACTGAAGGCAAATGGCCTGTTTGAGGATGTTTTTGGTAGGTTTCTGAACTTTGCCTATGTTGAGAACGTTGCTTTCTATAAAGGATGAGGGTGCTCTTATATATCACCTAAAATATCTTATTTTGTGTTCTGTAGATGAACGAAGGTCTCAGGGGTTTTAAATGACAGGAGGCTCTGTTTCAATGATTTTCTGTGGTGGCACACTGGACTGAAAGTAGCTATGTAAATTTTTGCTTTTGGCATCTGATATTCGTTCAGCAATATTTTGACCCTTAAACTTATACAAGTAAATATAAAATACTACTAGAATATAAAAATTGATCATTATTTTCAAAATATTTAAAAATGGTTGGTATTTTGGTGTTTTAGAGTATGTTGTTAAATCATGTTTGTCATCCTGGATCATTCATTCGTATATAGCAATATGTTTTTGGTAGTCATTTCCATCCATCATACACAATCTAAAGCAGGGGTGTCCAAACTCGGTCCTAGAGGTCCTAGAATTTAGCTCCAACTTGCTTCAACACACTTGCCTGTAGATTGTAGTATATCCAATAAGAGCTTGATTAGCTGGTTCAGATGTGTTTGATTAGGGTTGGAGCAAAACTCTCCTGGACATCGGCCCTCCAGGACAGAGTTTTACACCTCTGATCTAAACTAACCACGCTATAATATATCATAAAGTGTAACTTAACTCTAGTCCTCAGGACCCATCTCCCAGAATGTTTAGACATGAGAAACACTGGTCTAATATTTTAAGAGGCATTTGCAGTTTTGGTTTCACCATTTTTTTTTTTTCTGTCCTCCTCTCAGGCTCCTGGATACCCAGCAGGATCTTACCCACATTACCCAGAAGGATGCCCTCAGAATGCACCTTACCCCAACCAGCAGCCTGTGCTGTCAAGACCCCAGCATGAGGCTTGGTCCCACACTCAAGGGTATGGACCCACACTGCCTCAGCAGCAATGGCCTTCTGATTCCCAGACACCCCATAGCCACTATGGCAGTCATGTACGACCACCTCACCCCCCTCCATGGCAAGGACCCGCACCACCTCCATATGAGCACAAGGTATTTATGATATTTTACTCACAGTACACCCCTTACTAATCTCCCTTTAAATTAATAAGCTTTATAAGATGCTATACAGATGGGGAATAGGTCGTAATGACATGAGTTATTGATCCGGAAAATATGAATCTGCGAATCTGTTACCGAACTTCATATTTCCATCTATTTCAAGCTACGAATATTTGAAATTACAAATCAACAGAACAAAACCGAGATATGATCACAAACTGAGCAGCTGCGATCTATATACTTTACCCCCAGCTGTTTTTCAGTAATTCATAAAGAGCACACAAACATACTGACAGTAATAGGTAACTTACTGTACACTGTTTTTCACTGTCAATGGTGCTAATATTCGGCACAAATCCAACATTTTCCCTTTTCTGGCTGTTCTTTCTATGAATGAACTGTGTAAAAGCACAGTCCATGTTTCCTCGTCGGTTAGTAGCCTAAGGCTATATTTCATTGAACAACAATTAATCTATCAGGCTCTTTGGCTAAAAATAGAGAAATTACGGTTTGATTTGTCATTATTAGATTATTTTTAAATGTCACCTCTCCTGCTGAGCATGAGCTAAGCTGTTGAATGGTTAGCATATGAGGCGGTTAGGCTAAGCTAGCTTCAATTTTGATTGATTTATTCTCTAACCGGTTGCTTATTATGTGGTGAATATACCCGTAATGCATACTGCAGTCTTTTTTTGTCTGGCTTTCTCGGATATCTCACCTATTCGACAAAAATGACATTATATACCTGGCAATGTCTGAAACCGGCGCACACACATTGAAAAAGCTGTGCCAGGCACAAAAGCTTGACAGGCGTAGCAACAATAACTAAGGAGGGCGGGGCTTAGCGAAGGGTCCATTGTTGATATAAAGATTGCTAAAACTGAACTGTAAAAATTACTTAAAATAATTACATTTACAGGAGAGTGTAGGTGTAGGAGGTGACTGTTTTTCTTTCTGAAATCATTTCAAGTTTAAATGTTGGGACATTCAAAGAGAGAATAGGGCATAGGGTGGATAACTGGCAATAGAGTACAACCAAGGGCTATTTTTTTAACTACAGCTCCAGATGTGTAATTCAAATGCACATGTTTGTGATGTAGTTTGTGAATGTTCATTGGAATGATAGATTTGGGAAACAACAAATAAATGAACTATTATTGTAATGTTGGATCTTTCGACCTTGGTTGGCTAACAATAGTTTTTGGAAATGTACCCGAGTAGTGTTTTTTTTTTTTTTTTTTTATGAAATAAATAATGAATTGTGTTGTTTATCACTGACACATCCAAAAATGTAATTAACTAAGAAAAAAAATTGTTGCATGTAGTAAATGGAAAATAATTAATAATTGTCTTTTTCTCACAAAAACATGTGACTTTATTAACAAACTAGTATTTAAAGGGTTACAATTCAGAAAACTAATGAATATTTGGTAATATTATTGTGATCTTAAGTTAAAGTGGAAAATATTAATATATAATATGTTTGTTTTTTAAGGACATTGACATTCTTTGTCCACTTTTAGGCTGATGAATTACATTTTTTATTTTTTATTTTTGATTGATTGACTAAAATTTTTTTACAAAACCACTAACAATATTATAACAATACTAACACATATAACACTATAAATGGTTATTTATATAATTATATAAATATAATTTAAAACTATAACAACCACTAACAATGGCAAAATAAAATAGAAAAAATGGGGTGTTTGTCTAAAATTTATTTATGAAATTACTCTCTCCCCTTTAGGATCCACCATATCAAAGTCAGCCTCATATGCAACCTAAAAACCAGCCTGCAGGCTCCAGACCACGTGTGAGCACACCAAACTCATCTGCGCTTCCACCCAAACCCACCCAGTTCAGCAGTCCACCTCAAATCTACAAGACTTCCTCTGGCGTTGGAGGACTCGAACCCAAACCTGCCCAAAATGAACAACCTCCTATGTCTTCCCCTCCAGCGTCGTCCATGCCAGCTCCACTAAAAGATAATTCCAGCCTGGCTCGAGTTCAGCAGATTTTGGCCCGAGTTCAGCTTCTTCAAGAGGATGTGGATGAGTTTGTGGGAAAAAAGACAGACAAGAGCTACCGATGCCTGGAGGAACTGTTGACAAAAGAGCTGCTTGAGTTGGACTCTGTGGAGACCTACGGGCAGGACGTTGTTAGACAGGCTCGCAAAGAGGCTGTTCGGAGGATCCAGGCCATCTTGGAATGTCTTGAGAAAAAGGCGTTCTAATAACAGGGTGGATTGATGATGATTTCTTTTTTTATGGTCTTTCCTCATGATTGCAGATTAGGATGTTCACATTTTGCCAGTTTGTTGGATTACATTTTTTGTTGTTTTTGGATTGTGTAGCCCAAATGGTGGTAATGTTTTTTTTCTAGTAATACAGGCACAAAATACAGTCACTGCAGTGCCATACTCGAAACCAGACATTTGCCATTCAACAACAAGAAGCAGTGATCTACTCGGAGGTTTCCTTGTGTAACACCTTTCGGTTTATTGAGTCTACATAGACTAAAGGGATACAACAGAGTTTTTTTGTTGCACATCTTCAAGAATGAGGACTCCACTCATTTTACTTTTGAAATTTAGTTTATTACTGCTATTACACCAATCCATTCTTGATATTATTGTAAAATAACTTTATAACTTAATAAAGACAGTCATTTTTTAATAACTCATAATTCAGTTTCACATATTCATCATTTTACTTCATTCAGTCAACTTTTTCATGAAAGGTGTGATCATATTGGCAGCAAGAAACGTCTATTCTCCACTTTTAGTAGTTGAACAAAACAACCCTCACATTGAAATAAACGCGTGTATCTGCATGAAAAACTTCTGAAATATGTGTGAGGTAGAATTGCAGATCTGTTGAAATGATTGGATTGTGACAAAATCTTATGCGATTACATACAACTCATGGTCTGTCTTCAAAACTCACAGCCTAGACCAGGGCTCTCAAACTCTTGGCCCGCCCTCTTCCTTCCTTCAGCCTGCAACTTACATCTAAAATATAGCGAGATTCAGCCCTCCAAAACATGTTGTTGAACCACTATCATTTAGTATGTTTACATGGACACCACATCAATTTAATCCGACTAAGGTCATAATTGAACTAAAGAGAAATCAAAGACGTGGAGTATGCCACATTATTGAAGTGCTGTACAGACATGTACACCTTAATCCAGGGTTTTTCAAAGTCTAAGGGTGCTTTCACACCTACACTTTTGTTTCGGAACGTATCTCGTTTGCCCAGTTAGCGCGGTTCGATTGGCATATGTGAACAGGGCAATCGCGCTCTGTTCCGCGCCAAAGTAATCGCTCCGAGATCGCTTGAATGAGGTGGTCTCGGCTCGATTGAAACGAACCCTGGAGCGGTTTGATTACAGTGAGAAAGCGATCCGATCCGAGCGCGGTTATATCACAGTGTTTTATGGATATGTAATAGGCTTACGGCTATATGAAGAGAGAATTATGAGTAGGGCGGGAAGTTTCGCGAGTCTCCGGATGCCCGCAAACAAGTGATGATCTCCCGGTAATCTCGTGTCTCTCTCCCAGTCCTCAAATAGGCATCATCGCGCACCCTTCTCACCCCTCCCCACCGTGTCTCTCCCTCAGACACGTCATGCGCGCGCACCCTGTCAATCACCACCAAACCACCACCTCTCCTGACAGCTGAGCGTGACGCTGCAAAATAAACCCTGACACTCTGACCAATGTAAGGAGAGTTTACTCGCACGTGACTTGTTTTAGCTCTTTTGGTCCGATTAGAAACTTTGCAGTGTGAAAGCGAACCGCTCCAAGAGCAAAGAGCAACAATGTAACAATTCTAATCTCTGTTTCGGAACAACTGAATCGATTCACAGGTGTGAAAGCACCCTAAGACAGTAGGCCTCCCTTTTGACACAACTTATCCATTGGCGCCCCCCTCCTCCCAAACACACAGCGCAGACGCACACACGCAGACGCACACACGCAGACACACACACACACACACACACATATATATATATATATATATATATATATATATATATATATATACAGTATATATAAAGACACACACAGATGTCAGACTGTTAACTCACTTTTATCAAGCATGAAAGTGCAATTATTTACAGAGTAATAAGTATTTTACTATAACACTTTTAAAACTAGGATGATGGTTCAATATGAATAGAACAGATCCAAGAACTGTCCATCCCAGTCAAAACAGTCAAAGTTTAGCGGGTCTCATGCTGTCATTAGCCAAAATATCTTGACAAACCACACATAAAGGTCGTGGTTCATCAGCTGGTCCTGTCCATGTAAATCCTAAACTCAAATACTGATCATCATATCGTCGTCTTTTGGGTTTAAGCCCTGAACTTGAAGGCTTTGAATCGGGGGGTCTCAGAAACCGATCCATTGTATTAGCAGGCATATACCAGAAGCGAATTCACAGCTATGGCCTTCTGGGTAAAAAAGGTTTTCTTATTTTTGACGTATAATTTTTTTAGCTTTGTTTAATTAAAACTTTTAAATATAATAAAAATACATATAATAATTAAACTTAATAATTATATTTTTAATATATAATATTTTTTCCCGCAATTTTTATTATTGTCTCAATTAGATTAAGGCAAATAATTTGATTATTGATGTCCTTGTAAACATGGTCAATGTTGTGCCGTATAACCGCTTGTGGTTTTGACCCCTCCCACTTATTGGACAATTAAAGTACTGCACTATATTTTACTGTATTTCAGTGTGCAGTCGAGTGTAACCCACATGTACATTATTACTGTGGCTGATTTAAACGTTGAAATAAAAGTGCATAAGTGCTCTATTTCAACTAAAGCTCCGTGTTTGAAAACATTCAAGGGTCATTTGATTATTATTAGTTTTATTTCAAAGACTTTTTCATGGCTTACACGTTATGTTGGTGGTGTAACAAATATACAAATTTTGCTTTTGTTCGATATAATTAGTCTCATTTAATAGATCTTTCTCATATGCTTATTGAGATTTCTATGTACAATTTTTTTACTGCTGGTTGAATTGAACACGTTAAAGTAAATGTGAATATATAGTTATTTTTCGCCTGTTTGTTGTAGTTTTACAAAAAGGAAAAATACTGAAAAGAACAGTTGCTAGTAAAATCAGTAAAGTTCTTACGCTATCTGTTAAAATTTTGGTAAAGCAACAATTGGTTGGGACGATAATGATGATAACAATAGTTATTATTATTCTACGATGATTATTTTAAATGTCAAAATGTTAATTTAAAAAGCCACAGATATATTTCAGCAGTTGTGTGAAGCAAGAAATGTGCTGATTTGTGACCGGTAATGCTTGAATTATAGACATTATGTCTGTTGTCTTAAGATTCACCAATTTCTTTTCTTGTGCTTTAATGTTAAAACGCACCTCTATGAATTGTCAGTCACTGAAATGGCCCCCCTCCAATTTGAGTTTGAGACCCCTGGCCTAGATGGAACTTTGCCGTTTGGATATATAGTTCCTTTCCCCGTTACAATTTTTCAAGGCATGCTACTGGATTTAAAAGAGATCCAAATATTCATTGTTGAGTCCGCCCATTTACATTATTGTGTACTGCTAAAACCCACCAGGTTCTAACAAGCAATATTAGGTAACAATAATGTTTTTTTCAAAAGGTGTGTTAGAATAATGCATTCATCAAACCATTTCATGGGTTTTACTGTTCAACTGAACCCTCATTTAACCCGCAAATGCATCTCATTTTTACAGCTTATGATACTGTGTTAACATTATCATCTGCATATAACTTTTGGCTATTTTTAGGTTCTATTTTGTCTATTGCTTTAGACTATTAATCTAAAGCTGATTCGGGGGATACAGCTTCATGTCTGTTCACAAAGATGTGGCTGATCTATGGGCTTGTTTAGACAACAGAGGCATTTTTAGAAGGAGATGAATAATGTACAGTTTGTATCTAAAGGACTGAAGTGGGGGATATGGATTGGAGACAGAGCATCAACACTTCATGGAATAAGAGCTCCCTTTAACTTCATCATTATATTCAATACTTTCCACCTAAGTGACTAACATCAGGGATTGTTCAACATGATTTCTTCCAACCATATGGATTTAATGTAACCAGGATAATTGTATGGGTTTTGAGACGAGTAAAAACAGTGCCATTACTTTAACAGGTGTTTATATATATATATATATATATATATATATATATATATATATATATATATATATATATATATATATATATATAATAACAAAGATGTTTAGAGACTATTCAGGCACACAAAATACAAATCAACTGTGCTCTGCAGGGTCGCAGATTACTTAATTGTGTCTAACACCCCCTCTCTCTCTTTCTAGGTCTCTGCAAAATACCTTCAGTAGTGTGTATACCTAAAAGTGTTTATTACATTCATCTTTACAGTACAAATGTATCTTTGTATATCAGATTTATTAAAAAAGCAATTCCCAAATAAGGACCAAAACTTGCCTGCTTAAGTACCCAATGTAACGCATGCTTTTGAACACAAATGGGCTATGTTGTAGGACCTGACTGAATAAAGATGATGGTTGTGTTATCTGCTCATGATGTAACTTTACAGCAGAAAACCTTCACCGATCAGGCACAACATTTTGAACACCATGTATGTTCCTTGAAAGATTTTTGATTACTCTGGCAGTCTGGCATGGTGTGGTGTTCTATTGCGCTTGGTGCACTTGGTCCCCAACAATGGTCAGACACATGAGAGCTCAGGAAGTGTGCTCTTGGCAGTGGTTTAAAGAGTACTGAAAAATTAGACTCAAAATATAGTGCGATTATAAATTATCTGTTGTAAATATTACTAAACATAAGAGTAAAAAAGTAGCCCTTTTTAAAAGTATTCAAGACTAGTGAGTATTACACTGTAAAAAGTTGGTGCATTTACATGCAGTTTGTGCAGGGATGTGTAAACGTAACATTCTGTAGTGTATTCAGTGATCTTCCTATTTTCATTTGTTGGTTTGTTCGTATTTTTGTTCCTTCCTTCATTAGGTCCTTTGTTCATTTATTCATTCTTTCCTTCATTCATTTGGTCGTTCGTTCGTTCCTTAGTTCGTTGATTAGTTTGTTCACTCGTTCGTTCTTTCCTTCGTTTGTTCCTTTGTTAGTTCAGTCCTTCCTTAAATATTTTTCTTCATTCATTTTGTCCTTTCGTTGCTCCCTTCATTTGTTCACTCATTCATTCTTTAGTCCATGCATATTTTTCTTCCTTCATTAGGTCCTTTGTTCATTCATTTGTTCATATTTCTGTTTGGTTGTTTGTTTGCTTGTTTGTTCAGTCCTTCCTTGAATCTTTTCTTTATTAATTTGATCCGTCCTTCATTTCACCCTTCATTAGTTCGCTCATTCATTCGTTCCTCCATTCATATTTTTGTTCCTTCCTTCATTAGGTCCTCTGTTTGTTCGTACGTTTGTACGTTTGTTCATTCATTCATTCTTTCCTTCGTTCGTTCTCTCCTTCGTTTGCTCTTTCCTTCCTTTTTTAGTTTAAGTCTTTCCTTTAATCCTTCCCTCATTCAGTTCTTCCTTAGTTTTAGTCCTTCCTTGAACACTTCTGTTATTCATTTGGTCCTTCCTTCGTTCTTTGCTTCATTCGTTTGCTTGTTCATTCACATTTTTGTTACTTCCTTTATT